CAGGAGCTAACTCGAGATTTTTTTCTTCTTCTCTTTTTACAGTCTGACAGCAATGCAAGCTTTCTCCGAGCTGCCAGAGCTGGCAATCTAGACAAAGTAGTGGAATACCTGAAAAGTGGAATAGACATTAACACGTGTAATCAGGTAAGATGTTTGAAGGGCTGAAGTTTGCAAGAGCGAGTTGCAAGAAACTCCCCTCAAAACCTGGGTTTTTCAGGCTAGGTTACTTCATAGAGATGTATTGATTCCCCTCAAGCTATGTTTTCAGTCTTGTTCTTCAGTGGTATCTTTCTGCAGGAAGCTGATAACGTCTGCAAAATTGTGCTGCTTTTAGTAAAGCTTTGGGTAAGCCTCTTTGGGCTCCTCTTTCTTGCCAGTGTCCTGCAGGTATGGATATATGGTAGTGAAGTACCTATGATTAAAACTTCAGGTATGCTGCGGTACTCTAACACTAATGGACCTGCGACTGTGAAGTTCCAGTTCTAGTGGAAACAGTGAGCGCGAAATATAGTTGTATTCTTCAAAATACTCAAGTTACCCAAAAAACCCCAGGAGACTCGGAAAGCTGAGGCCCACCCATTGTCCAGTTCTCTTTCCCATAATGAATCTCTCATTCTTTTCTTTGTCTGGAGAAGTGAGACTATGCCAACACTCATATTTTTTGCTCTGTTAGTTATTGCTGCCTATTTATTTGTATCCATTTATTAATCGTAATGAGGCATGCCCATGTAATGGGTATTCCTCAGTTTAATGAAACATCTTGCCTCTCCGGAGAACTTACATTGCAAATAGGGGTCGAAGAGCAATAGGTATTACAACAAATTGACAGATGAGCAGAGGATGGCAGTGAGATGACTGTGATTAATAAATCCCACAGCATGCCAGCTGTCAGGTTTGGGGGGTTTTGTGGGTTTTTTTGTTTGTTTGTTTTGGTTTGGGGTTTTTTTAAAGCTATTTTGAAGACCTCTTTTCTGGCATCTTCACAGGTGTTTAGTTTAAAAGAAAGTTCTGTGTTTCTTGTTCAAACATTTGTCTAAAGGACAGTGTGGACTGGCATCCTTGGCAGAGCCGAGAAAGAAGTTGAAAGCCATGTATAAAAAACGGTGTCCTTAGCTTACGTGTGGAGACGTTGCTTGGAAGTTTTAAAGTGAGATGTGCTTGAATGAATAAGAAAAGCAAAGCTGATAGAGGCTAACGATGTTTTTCAGGCAACAGTTTGCCAAGATGAAGGCGGTAGTGTTTGAGTGGATCTCAAAATTGAATTGCAAAACATTTTTCAGTCACCTAAAGAAGTTTCTTGTAAACATCCTTTTTTTTTTTTCATATTCAGCGTATTATGTTTAAGCCTTGTAGCATGGGGACGTTTTTAGACTCTGGGGTTTCTATCACACCTAGAGCAAGAGTTCTCTTCCAGGACACGCTCTCATTCATATGATAGTAATAGCAATAAGTTAGAAAAAGAAATTACAGGTCTAAATTTGTAACAACCTTTTTACTATTCTTAAAGAAAGCATCCTGGCCCTATTCGCAATATGTTGATACATGTTCCTCCAAAATAAAGAAATACAGCCTGCGTTTTCAATTTTTTGCGTAGTTTTCAGGGCTTGTTATTGCTTGGCTTGCTCATTAAATTAATGTGAATGCTGGGGGAACGGGATAGCAATTGAATAATTCATACCAAAGAGAGCGGATGTTAGCAAAATAAATAGGTAAATTTGCACATTATCTGTGGATTTTATAAATGTTTTTTTTATTCAGGTCATTTAGTTAATATTTTAGTAAACAAATTTTAGACCTTAAATACTATTTGCTTGTACACAACACTCTCTTAAAATTAGTTTTTTTCAAATTTTTTCTATTTTGTGGTGAAAAGTATCATCTAAGTATCACCAAATAACCTAAAGACTGAAAAATGATGGGAAATATGTGCTTTATTGAAGAAAAGAAAGATAATTCCATTGTGAATCTAGTCTTGCCCCCATCATTCACATTACTTTTACATTTTGATTTAATAAAAAATATTCTGCTTTTGGCAGAGTATTTTTCAGGTATAAGACATTTGGAGCCGCTCCGTCCTTTGGGAAATGTGTAGGGATGGAATATACTAGTACCAGATAGTGGAAAAAATGGAAGTAAAAAATATTATTTTAGGTTTTGTATGGAGAAAACACCCATATTGTCTTATCTCTTCTCATCACTGTTCAGATTAAGATCAGAAATAATCAAGATTTTCCTCACTGTGTCCTGAGACACAGTTGTGGCTCCTAATGTAAACTGTGTCCCGGAGCAGGGCTGCTAGTTGCTGTGGACATACCTATTATAAATAAATAAAATATTTAGGAAATAAGGTTGGATTTATCTTTGGAATTAGTAAGGAAATCATGACTCCATTAAGCTGTGACAGCTAATAAATTGCTCTCCAGGGCAGCTAGAAGGAGAAAGGCTGTTGAAACAGCATTTCTTAATTTTTTTTAATGCATTTTCCAAGGCAATCATCAGACTGAAAGCTTGAGTTGTTTCCTACTCTGATACGGATGTGGACTTTAGAAGCCGTGGATTTCTTTGGTAGCAAAGAAACGCTACGAAAGCATGGGTTTTCCTCAGTAGTAAGAGCAATAATCCCCCATGAAATTTAAGTCTTCCTTTTTCTGGAAGAATTTTAACAAAGCCATGGGGCAGGATGCTCTGGAGTGGTACCCTGCCAGCGGTGCTGATGGCAAATGCCCCCGTCTCTGGAATCTGGGTTGCAATTACTGTTATCTCTGAACCCTCAGTGAAGAAACGAAACTTTTGTTTTCTCCTTTGATATCTGGAAGCCACTTGTATGAAAATTATCAGTAAATTGCTTCAGAAACATAGAAGGGGATTACTTTGAAGGGGCAGAAAGAGTTGTAATGAATTTTTCAAAGACAGTATTGATATATCTTCTTCCTTTGGCTTACTTGTGGTATACCCTAAACCTATTCTTTTAAGAGCGGGCTTTGTACTGTTTTAACCAGTCTCTTTTGCATTTCTGGTGCATTTTTCA